TCTGTCAGCTCTAACTGCCTGTGCTATAATGGCATATTCTTACCATTAACCACTTATTCTTTTGCGCAGGAAACTCACCTATTGTGCTTCATATCAAGCAGTCGAAAATCAGGTTGTTATCAGTGAACAATGGGAGAAAAGAGATGAGTTCTGGTGTGGCCGTGCTGAAAATTGCGAGACATATGGCTATGTTATTTGCTATGCACCATCTGTAGCTAAATAGGGCTTTGACCCATCTGACAGCTGAATCTACCAGCATAAGCTACAATTCGTAAATAATTAAACAAAATTATTCGAAACAGAATTAAATGACATTAATAAGGCAATTGTTGGTAAAGAACAACTTGGGATGAAACCACTTTACCATTTTAACTGACTTTCCAGGCATGCGACTTCACATGTAGAAATGACTTGAGCCGAAAAATCAAAACAACCTTCAGAGTTGATAAGATTCATCTATGACTGTATGAGAAAAGAACTGGAAATGAAACATATAAAGAAATTCTTTAGCAATCTCAGCGAAAAAACTTTCATCGGTTTTTCTACTTATTCATATTAAGAAGGAAAACCGTTTTAGGCGAAGTATCAATTACATACAGGAAAATTATTCCTAGCCATCTGCAGCAACGAATAGCATATCCAAGGCTAGAGTAAAGCAAAACAGACGTCAAACTAAAAGGATGGGCGAACTGTAAGAAAGAGGCGCAAGGAAGAAGGACAGCACAAGGAAGCCACAAAGCAATCTGTTCACGATAAGCGACCATGAAAAATTACTTAAAATATATCAACCATTAAACCTGAACGAAAATGAAAATAATGAACAAAGCTAACGTTAAAAAAAGAAAGAAATGATGGAGAAGAAGAATAAGAAGAAAGATCAGGCGAATTAGAACGAGAAAAACAGATTACGGAAAACTACTAATAGAAGAAAAAATATAAGAAAAAGGAAGGGGAGTAAAATTAATGAAAAAAGGAACATTAAACGAAAGAAAAGCTAAACAAACGAGTACAAAGACGTTACAAGTTAAAAGATCTGTTACATAAAAATAATGCATGTTCATTCTTCAACGTCGTCACGCACCTTGCCGTCAAAGCAGAATGGTCGCAATCCGATGGTTTCTGAAGTTTCCAAACTTTTCTTACTTTCAGCATTTTCCCTACAATTAAGACCGTGGTAAAGCTTTTACAACGTAATGTTCCTACCGTTTTCGGTACAGAGCTTTCTGGTACGGCAAAATCGAAAACGTTAATAGAGGAAGGCGACGATTGCAAACACAAATCCTTCGACATAAAAACCTAGAAATAAAATCAGAGCTGAAACAAGCTCGCGAGCATCGAGCTTACATATTACATACAGTTACTCTTAATCAGAAACACAATATGTTGTTCCCTGACTGATCTTGACAGCTGATTCCTTAGTTCGCTGAACTGATGAAAAGCAAGATATTTCTCTTCATTTTATGTGAAGGACGAATAAGTCAGAATTAACCTCATTTTAATGCGAACTAGGAATAAATCAGAAAAGCATTTATTAGGCCAGAGGGAATTCAGCATCAGAGGGGCAGTTCCTGAAAGTTTAAGAACAGACCAGGATTGAAACTACAAGACGCGGGTGATGGAAATCAAGACCTTAGGAAATGGATAATTTTTGGGTACGATATGAGAAGTCAACGAAAATATGAGATCATCAACGTAAACCGATGAAATATAGATTGTAAAAACTGCGTCTGACAAATCAATTAAGAGGTACTAATTTCCCGTTTCAAGCATATCTGACTTGCTCAAATACGGCTGAACACTTGAGAGATTACAAATGCTTTCAGAATAAGATCATGATTACGATCCTTGATGTATAACGGCAGTCAATGCTGGTACAAAATGCGTAAAGGAACGACAAAATTTTTATCATATCTATGTCTGATATAATGACGAGCCATGAACTTGACAGAAATAAGGTCGAGATAACGTTGAGCGGATGACACGAAGAAACGGAGTCTAAAACACCGAGTAGTATCATACCACTGAGGTGCAGGCCCAATGGGATATCCAGCTCAAAATTATTGTCATTGTAAACTGTTAACTAATGTTAATCAAACATATCGTTGTTTATGGCCAAAAAGCGTCAGTAGCCCACTGTCTCAAAGTTCATGATATGCCTTCACAACAACCACTGTATGATTCAGGCAAAAAGCACTGACAGTATTTTGCCTGTCGTAGAGCCCGTTCTTTGGCCGCTAGCGCTCTCAGGTCAGAACACTAAAGATTGATGTTAGACAGCAGTAATATATCGCAATTCTTGAAATCATCGCAAAGCTCATGGCTTTCAACGACACTTACTTTCAGCATGTTATAAGGTTTAATATTTTGGCAATATTCGTAAAGTAGAATTAAACGCATACCAAGAACTTGCTGAAAATAAATGATATACGGCAAATTGGTGTTGAAAAAGATATCGGTTAGTTGTTTGCTTTAATGGCTTTGATTTAACTGTTCTTCGATTTCGATCTTCGATCCATGGTTCAAGGAAATAATATGGCAAAGGAGAATAAGATTTACTTTAACGAAGCATACCAGCTTCATTTTCAGGGTTAAATTTCAGAATTAAAACAGCGTTAAACCATGAAAAGAATTTAAGTGACTGTAATAATTGTTTATTGCTTCCTCCGGATAAGCTGGCCGACGACATTCCAGCTATTACTCAAATCATACCAGCTGGTACATTCGTTACACAGTCGGCGTTTATCTGCCAACAGGTGTAGCGACTCCATGACTAACACTTCAGTGCTTCTTCTCTCATTGTCTCAAGATGTTCTTCAAACCTCGAGAATTAACGGTGGTAAGATTATAACATTTAAATACGGATATGGACGCATAGGCTAAAATTTATCGCAAGACAAGGCATATCTATTACAGTAGCATGCAAAATTGTCAAGATTTTAGTGCTTTCACAAGTAAAGTACTAAAATGTCAACAAGCGTCTTGGACGAATCAGCAGCAAAGGAAAACTGCAAGGATCAACCGATTAGGTTAAAACAGTGGTCACCTGTGCGTGTTAAAAGAAGCACGCGTCAAGTCGCCGTCAGTGGCAAATTCGACAGTACGAAAGTCGTCGGTAGCTTCTGCCGAGTCACTAGCCGATCTACTGAAGCTCAAGTTACTGCGGTTCTCGGCTACCATCGACTCGCTAACACGCAGCAGGATGCCAGCCGTGTTGTCAACACTACCACACGACGACAAACGTTCTCTGAAGCTCAAGTGTCGCCGTCTGGCCGGCTTCCTTCGACCGGCAATATCGCTCGACCGGTCCGAGTATTCGTCCACCTCAGTGCTTTCACTGCGGCACATTTCCGGAAGTAACGCGGAGCTGTCCGCCGCCAACCTGTCCTCGTCGAAATTGTAGTCTGGCGCTTGCAAAAGGCGTAAGTGCGTGTCAATGTGGGTGCCATCCAACGAAATATTACGAAGAAAGTTTTGTGCTACCAACAAATGGTAAGTGTTTCTTCCGTGAAACATAACGACCGCGACAATTCACTGTCCCCCAAGCGCAAGTATCTAAACAAGACATTAATTTGGAATGAAATTTAAAAAATTCTTTTTTATAAATTGAAGGAAACTTGTACAATTTTAGCGAACATACATACGCAGATTTATCTTACCTATGCATGTAATCGCATCTCTGGTTATGAATTACAGGCACTGAGCGAAACAGTGCGATTCTAGATTACAAGCGACAAAAATGAGGTAATCGAAGGAGGGTCAGAACTCGAATAAAGTCGGAACGCGATCGACTGAAATCGATACGCTTGGTTGTCAGCTGCTCGTTTTAAGGTAGAGATCATAATCGCCATGAGAATAACCCGGAGAGGCTCGCAAGTCGCGTCTTGGCGGACGCAAGTCGCGTCGTGGCTCACTATACAGAACATCCGGCGTTGCTACGCATTGGAATGCAGACGACTGAGCCTCCTTGATGACGAAGCAGAATCAGTAGAGAGATCCAAAGGATCTAGCCGCCTCCAAAAAGGAACGGTAGGTTTTGATAATGAATACGTTGATTTGAAATCACGTTTATGAATTTAAATGTTGCTGCATGTAAAACTGTATGCCTTGAGAACTCTAAAACATAACTGTTTGATGCTGACTGCTTATACATGGTACCTCTTGGATTAAAACAAAACATCCGGATATGACGTCAATGATCAATTATCAGCAAATAACAGGGACAGTTGGCCGGATCTCATCTACTAACTGAATATAGAGACGCACAAACATTGCCACTGTGCGCCATCCTACCTATAAAACCCATTTGCAAGCTTCTATAAGTTCGTTTAGGTCAAGTCAGTGACCTCTGATACCATTCTAGCATCATAACTTTCTTCACGAAGTCTAACAGTGCATGATGAGGAGCCAGTATCACGGGTGCACCAAGCACATCGGAACACGTGGCATATTACCTAACTTGCTAGACTGACTAAACGAAAAATCAGCATATCCTGTCTGTAATTATTCCATGCTGCAGATCGTCCTAATATGCAACAAGATGAACGTTGCTCATGCACCCGCTACATAAATGTGCTTACCCATGTATTCTACTTTTTCATGCATATGAACCAACTACTGACCCCACT